TCTCTCTCCCTCTCGCTCCCTCTCGCTCCCTCACACTACCTCTCCCTCCCTCTCCCTCCCTCTACCTCCCTCTCTCTCCCTAAACCCTCTCTCCCCCTCTCTCTCCCTCTCCCTCCCTCTCCCTCTCTCTCCCTCTCCCTCCCTCTCCCTCCCTCCTTCCCTCTCTCCCACTCCCTCCCTCCCTCTTTCCTGCCTTCCTCCCGTCCTTCCTCCTCCTCTTTCCCTCACTCTGTCTCAGTCGATATCTATGTCTCTGACTCTCTGACTTCTCTCTCTCTTCCTCGCAGCTTCGACGAGGACCGCTGGCTCTACGGGCGGCATGAGAACTGTAAGGGAAGGGGAAGGAGATGCTTCTTTCTCTCGCTCTTCCCCTCCGGCTGCAGCAGGGACAGCATCCTTGCTGCTTCCAACTCCTCCATCTCAAGGACACGAGGATGGGAGGCTGAGGTTCATTCCCCCTCCTCCCTGTTCCCTGCTCCTCCCTCCTCCCACCACCCTCCTCCCTCCTCCCTTTTCTCTCCTTTCTGCTCCTTGCTCCCTCATTCGTCATAACGAGTTGCTGCAGCTACAATCTACCAAGGAGACCCACATTGATGTGATCACGACAGCAAGACATCTTCGGTAAAGAGACTCCAAGATGCGACGGAAAAGCGACAGGGGAAGGGGAAGGAGGGGAGGACAGAGAAGGGAGTGGAGGAGTAGAGTGGGGAAGGACGGAGGGGGGGCAGGCTGGGTAAGAGGATGCGGGAGACAATGAGTACAGGGGAGGAGGAGGGGAAGAACGGAAGAGGACAGGCAAGAAGGTGGAAAGAAGGAGGAGAACGAGTTAGCTAACAGCTTGTTTCTGTCGCAGGGAGGGTCTTCTTCCCCCTCCTGCCTTCAGGTGATGCTGAATCCTTACTCGCATGTCTCTCACTCCTGCTCAGCCACCTCGGACTCTTCTGGTGGAGGTCCTCCCTGCTCTCGATCCTCACCAGGAAGAGGTAGAGGGAAACATGTCCAGCGCTGCAGCAGCTAACATGCGTCTCCTCTTTCTTTCCCTTCTCCTCCTGCTCCTCCTGCTCCACCTGCTCCTCCTGCCCCTTCTTCTGCTCCTCCTCCTCCTGCTCCTACTCCTGCTCTTGCTCCTCCTGCTTCTTCTTATCCTTGTCCTTGCCCTTGTCCTCCTCTCCCTTCTTTTTCTCGGCAGCTTTTACCTCGAATCGCTGCTGCGGGAGGCCAAGGCGAGCATGGGATGGCCAGAGGAGGAGAGGAGAGGAATCCTGGGGGTGCACGTGAGGAGAGGAGACTCGTGCTTACATGCCGCCATGGTGAGAGATTTTTATGCTCTCCTTTCCCCCTCCCCTACTCCCAATCATCTTCCTCCTCTGTTAACGATCCTCCTCCACGTCTTCCTCCTCCTTCCTCCTTCCTCCTCCTCCTTCCTCCTGCCTCCTCCTCATGTTCATGTTTACAGTCTGCATCGCGGCCCCTCTGCATGCCAACAAATCTGTACCTGAATGCGGTAAATGTCTTGCTCCTTCCTCCAACTCTCCTCCTCCTGTCTCCCTCCTCCTTTTCTGCCTCCCTCCTCCTCCTGCCTCCCTCCTCCTGCCTTCCTCCTCCTCCTGCCTCCCTCCTCCTGCCTCCCTCCTCCTGCCTCCCTCCTCCTGCCTCCCTTCTTCTGCCTCCCTCCTCCTCCTGCCTCCCTCCTTCCTCCTCCTCCTGCCTCCCTCCTCCTCCTTTCTTCTCTTCACCTTTGAGCATCTCTTCCCCCTTTCTTTCTCCCTACCGGTCATTCACTCTCGTTTCTCTTCACCTCTCGTCCTGCCCCCCTCCCCTCTCGTCCTCCCCCCTCCCTGCAACCCCACCCCTCTCTTGTCTATCACATCTGAAGAGTCGACTAGATTGCTACCATGGTCAGCAAGTACGAGTTCACTGCTATCTTCCTGGCTACAGACTCCAAGGTACTCCTTTCTCTCCTCCTCCTCCTCCTCCTCCTCCTCCTCCTCCTTCTCCTCCTCCTCCCTCCGATTTCTATACTACCTCCTCTCTGTCTCTTCCCTTCTCTTTGTTTTCCTGCTTTCCCTCCGCTTCTTCCTCCTTGTTCTTTTCCTTCTTCATGTCTTCTTTCCTCTCCTTTCCTTCTTTCCTGTTTCTTCAATCCCTCCTCTTTCTTCTTCTCTTCCTCCTCCTCCACGTCCACTTCCTCCTCCTCTTCTCCCAGCAGTCTAAACATCCCGGGAGCAGGAGGCGATCGAAGGGATGACGAGGTTTGCGAGGAAAAGAGGACTCAAGCTCGTGTACCAAAGGTTAGCAAGAAGGAGGTGGAGCAAGGAGGTTGGGGAAGAAGCAGAACGGAGGGAGGAGGGAGGAGGAGGAGGAGGAGGAGGAGGAGGAGGAGGAGGAGGAGGAGGAGGAGAGGGAACTTGAGAGTGGGAGGAGGGTGCGGCTGGTTGTGGTAGGAGGAGGCAGTCACTGCAGGACATGACGAGAGAAGCAGGTTC